TTGATGCTGCGATCTAAATTCATCACATGACGGCCATCATACTTCCGGAAAAGTATTGTACGGTCGTTGCATTCTTTCCGCAATCATGCCACCTAACCCATGTATGAGTAGAACTCTCGGCCCTACCGTAACAGGCCAGTGGTCAGAACAGCTGAGCTACACGGACGGAAACTCCTAAATGACTGCAACTATCCGTGATGAAACGCCGCTCACGCACGGCAGAGGTGATGTGCACTATGGACGGTTCTCGAAAGGATGAGACAAACCTCCAACGGTTTTCCGGATGTGTGATGCACTTGCAAATGATTTCCGTTGTAATGGACCCAATTTAAAACATATAGAACCATCTTATAACCTGTGGTTTCGTTATTGTAGCAGTTTACGCCCGTCAACAATCGGATTCCAATGGTGGCTGTAATGAGGCTCTGAGTTTATCTAAAACCTGGGTTTTCCATTCACCGAAGCCGTAGCAAATAATCCATAACTTCCGGAAATCTGAATAGGCAAAATTTGGAGGAATTTTAACTATTCATCTGCTCAGTGATTGACATTAGATACAGGCCTCTGGGACCGTGTACCTCTGGTGGGAATGGAATGATAAGTTTTGACTAACTTCTCTCCAGCGCACCCTCACACAAAAGAACTGTGCAATGTAGGGCGGAATCTTTTGACTACAACCCTATCACTCTACTTTCGGTGCTTTGTATGGTCGTTTAATTCATCACTGCAGATGCGTTGGATTTTTACTTGAAAAATTGTAGCATAATTGATCCCAGATAACGCGGGTTACGTACACAATGATAGGAAGCCACAAATCTGCCAATATATCAGAGTAGTTGGGTTTATTAAGACAACACTGCAGAGGAAGCCGATAGAATATATTTAGCCTACTCGCAAACATTCGATCGTCTGGATAATGGGATCCTCCTTTCGAGCTCTAGCCTCACGGAGTCGAAGAACTTCTCCTGAGTCGGATGTGCCACTATATCCTTCAATGCAACTATTGGTTAGAGCTCGAAGCCTTCCGCATGACCCCACGCATGTCGAATATACCGTGTCACAAGATTCAGCGCTAGAGTCTCGTTTCACTGATCCTATTGTGTAAGTAGTCATTTAAACTTTCTTTATTTTGCTGACAAGTGTAATATCTAGAGAAGGATTAAGACGAATGTCGATTAGAAACTGATCTAGTTTGACCTAGACACGACATAATAGTGGGTAATGCTAAATCTGTTACGGTTGAGTGCGAACAAATACGAGGTATACTCCAGAGCATGCGCACTTACAAGTTCTACAGAACTGTTTAAGCGACTGGTGCAGAGTGACTTGGGTTGTTCCAAACAATTCGAAATGACACTAGAAACTGGCAAGTAACAAGTCGGATTGTTGAGAAGGGCATTCGGGCACAGATATCTCCAGTTTCCCCAAATCTTTCCGCTCTTGTTTTTCCCCTTGTCGAATACACGATTCAAGCTTCGCAACGATGGGTAAAGCAAGGTCTTATTGTTCTAGAACACCCTTAATGTTGAGATTCTAAATGGATCATTGAAATGTTCAATTTTCTATACGAGCAAAGGCTAAAATGTGTGCGCGCATACAGCGAACCGGATCGTTTGTCTTTAGGAGACCTACTAATGACTTATCCTGCACTATCCAAGTAGTTTGCTGGTGAACCATAGGAAAACATATGTGAAAATCCACTTCATTAAATGTCCGGCATAGCGCAGCCGCTCAGAATGCCATGTTAATTTCCATACTGTTTGGGTATGCCACCCCGGAACACAGTAGCCTGATATGCCTTTTCGAGCGCACATTAAGCATATGTGAAGGACAATCTATTTTTAGTCACTTGCATTGGCCTTTCGTTTCAGTTCCGGAACAAAAGCGTTGGCTTCATCCTAGGTCAACTGACTATACTGTAAAACAACGCGGTGAGCAAAAGCTATACCTCAGGAAGAGGTTGAAAGAGTAGTCTGGTTTTCTTCCAAAAAGGTGCAGTCCATTGCTCTTGTGACTTTCATAAGCATTGTCAGACTACCTGACATGCACCTTGACCCATGTTAAAGCATTGTTCATCGCTAATTTTGCACAGTAGCTAATCCCGTGGATGTTTTCTTAGCTTACTTGCACGTAAATAGCTGGGTCGATCGAATTGTTTTGTATGTGTTTCAAGAGAGAGGAAGCCATTGTGTATTAGGGAGCATACAGGCGTTTTGCCTTGTCTATACTCTGTGCCCAAAAATGCCATTGACTAGTGCACCATGTCTAACTAGTATATGTAAGCTTGATAGTTCGGTTCAGTTAGCCGGTAATCATCTGGGCAACGAAATGCAGTGAATCTAATGGTTAATAATCCTGCTGCCCAAACGACAAAAATAAAAATAGCGAAAGGCACATGACTAAGTACTGGGTAAAGATCTTCTGGAAATAGATCAGAGAGAATACGAATGGAACTGTCAAATGCAAATAAACAGTACGAAACGAACTACCCTACATAGGAAAGTCACCGGAAACGCGAGTCTGTCACGTCATCGGCTTCCAATCATTGATATTACCGATTCCGTGAGCCCCACTCCACTAACACAAGGTGAATTCGCGCCACTACTTATCCGTAAACGCGACTTGTGGTCAGCATATTAATGGCTTGTAATATTATGTCAGCACTAGCTAACAATTCGTGATGGTCGGCTGCCGTCCTCCATGGCTCAGTTGCATAAGCTGCGGACTAGTTGGCACAAGCCACTAGCAGTCATGGGTTCGATTCTCCGTAGAGGACCGAAGGATGCGCACCACTGACGAGCCCCAATAGGGCGAAACGGCCGTCTGGTGCTTTTCCGGATAGGTAGTTGACTTATCTGAATTGTCGGCTGACTTCGACGAACAAAAATACTAGATAAACTTATTTTGGAGTGCCTGTGGACGAATCGAACGCAGCATGTAATCATCCCACGATTCCTTATCAGATTCTATGCCATCTCAGTCACGAGAGGTATTCATATGGAGCGATGTACCTTGTGAATTTCCGACCAGTTTCTTTCGAGTTCACTACTGTTATCACCATTGGTGCGACCTATTGTTACGAAGGAAATTTCCCCTCGCTTAAGACTAGCACTTTTACCTTTTCGTCAATAGCCAATGTAGGATGTCACCTACTTCAAGTAACTTATTGGACACTGTAATGTTTCAACCTACCATGTTGTTGACAGCTGCAACATGTTCCGCAACAAGTTCTGAGACGCACAACAATCAAAAATCAGTCATTCATGAGCAAAATAGCGTTAGTTATACAGTACATCAAACTTAGCTACCCATTCCATTGTATCCGCTAACTCGCGTTGTCTGTTCTATGCTATCTGACTACGTTCACTAGCCCATACATACTGCTCGTTCACTACGTTTAGTCCAACCCACCTCTGGGACTTTGTTGAGCTTTGTTCAGTCCAGGCAATACCAATTATACACAGTGCAGCTGCACCGTGCCATTCTGGTCACTTCACCTGGGCGGAACAGGATTGATCCACTGGGCCTGTTTCGTTCGCTGTAGTCCCCTGCGCCGTCAACCTAGGTCCGTTGGATCGCATGAGTGCGATGTTCGCTTACTGTCGTCGGGGCCAATACGATGCTTCCATGTCCCGGACCACACCGTGCATCGTTCATACTGAGCCGAACGAATTTTTTCTTCTGACTGTAAAAATCATTGTTAGGTTTACTTTAAGCTGACACAACATTAGCGCTAGAGCCGTCCAGATTACCAAGGGGTGAACCCCAAGAGAGCTGATGCAACATTGTCTTACCCAAATCATACTCATAAGGACAAAGTCTTCTGCGATCTGAGCACCGTACAGTGGTGCATGGACATTTGTCATTAACACAATGATAACAAGTGTGATTTCCTATGAGACCATGGTGTAGGTCGAGGATTGCGTGCAGTGATGGAAACGCATGACGCATGCTCCAACCGTCAGTGAATTCTCAATCGCGATCAAAAATTGACCAATGTGTCCGATTAAGCGATTGAATGATGCGTTCAGCGCTGACTACAAAGTCTTCTCAGGACCGACCATGGATAGACCACGGGAGATTGCAGCTATTCTAATTCGCAATAAGGAAAGGTCATCACTCCATCCTAATCGTGAGTGGAGCATGTCGAAGGTTAGAGGTAACACTGTGCTTGAGATATTTTTAAAAAGTTTAGGCTGTTTTCTGCCTGCATTCGAGTACCACATGAGAGCTCTCGGCATTCTATAGTCCATCCACACATTGTTATCTGTAGTAAGATAGCCAAAGTGGAAAGTTACTCACTACAATGATCGCATATTAAGAACTAGACAATCACCACCGTAAAAAAGCGAGCGAATATGGGGAGATGATCACCTCTACAATCGTTGGCTCAGTTATTGACACAGGTAACTACGGACTTTCATCATCTGATAAGTTGGTTGCGTTGATGTCTGTTTTTCATGGGAGCCGCTTTTCACTTTGTAGACAGACTCAGCTCTGAGTGCCACATGATACCGCACTCAAACAACGGGAGTTCAAAGACGAAGAGCTTGCTAAGGCAAGGTTCCATTTTACCGATTTAGGAAGCAACTGAGCTGAGTAATCAAGAGTAGGTTCAAATGATGCTCCGAAATGATGAGTTCAAGGAAGCGTGGAATAGTATTGTAAAAGTAAGGGGAAGCACTTACCATATTACGAATTCTGATGTGAACTTAGAATAAAACACTCATCTTTTATAATGGGAGCTTTAGTGGTCTACAGACGCATCACCGCATTTGGACAGCCTAGACTTCCACAGGAAATTAGTCCAGTTAAACTCAGGCTGGTTGGACGTTTCGGACGGCCTATCAAACATGGTGCTCGAGGAGTTGCTAACTTCAGAACTCAACCTCTTGCCACCATGTACACAGTCCACAAAGCGAAACAAAATCGATGAATGCCTGTGAATCACTAATATCAAGCCACCATTAAAGAAGAAGGATATATCCATATTGACTTACTGAGTCAATTTCGGTAGCTGTGAAACTACTCAAGAAAGTCCTTCATGCAAAGTGGATGGTTTAGATCCCTTCGCCTGATCCGTAGCAGTTTGCTTGCTGTATTTTCAGACTTATAGAAAACTCAGTAGTATTCATAGTGTATTCAATACAGTCATCAATGCGAATTAAAGATAAAAAGATGCCGGCGTGTCCCTCATCTATAGTCATGCAAACTACACTTATGTGCTCTTATAAACTGTACAGTAACATCCAATAATCTTCATGCCAAGTGAATATAACCTCATACGCAGTTTACCAAGCTTGATAAAAGAGGCTGCTCACCATTCACCACAGGTTTCGGTGCTCTGCAGTTGGCTACTTGGTCGCAGTTTCTATTTTCTGCCTTCGATATTTCAATACTTGATGAAGTGTTCCTAGATGTCAAATATCCAATCACGCCCTCTTCAGATGAGTTACAAAACTGTCTTGTTAAGCTCACTATGTGGTCCGAATTTCGTTATCTATCGCTAAAACCATCGAAGCCCAAAAACGGTATCAAATTTTTAGGTATATGCATCGCAGCTATACTCAGTCGGACAGTCACCACACTTCCAGGAAGGCACTAGACGGCCGCTTCATCCTACTGGGACTCATCAGTAGCGTACATTCATCGGATCATGCAGGATTCGAACCTAATGAACTTACACACCATTAAGTGACTAATGCCACTGAGGCATGGGCGGCGGCAGCGGACCGCCATAACTGATTTCTAACTGCGATATATCGGGGCTCATCCTCCTTAGTATGCATTAATCACCTTAGCAGCTTACATTCCACCTCGATTGGTGGCGGTTTGCAAATTAAGTCGTAGTTCTGGGCGTTAGCTCGGTTCTCTGCACGTCCATAATATGCATGGTTCGAGACCGTTAGTCGCACTCGCGTAGGGCTAAGGTCATGGGTTCTAATTCGGCAGGCTCCGGCGGATGCGCCCTACTGACTAGTCCCAGTAGAACGAAACGACCATCGAGCGCTTTCTTGGATGTGCGGTGTCTGTCTGACTTAGTCTAGCTGCAATGAATCTCCCCGTACAAACGACAGGCCACCCCAAACTACTTCCAGATAACCTTACTGCATCATGTAAAAACCGCTACCCTTATCTCCTCGTTTTGGCAGTCAGCGTTTACATTCATTCATGTCAGTGAAACAGCTGGGAATCACACGGTCCCTTCATGTGAACAAAGTATTCGCTTAAGTCTAGACTGCAATTCAATTTCTGTTGTTTGATACCCATCTTCATCTTCCGCTGCCTACTTCGCCGATTCATCAACGCTCATTTGCTACCTCAGTGAACATACTGTTCTCCAGTGTTTATCCGAGTTTATCAAGCACATAAAGGTCGCCGAAGCAACGATTCCGCTGTAGTGGCGTTTTAAAGTACATGTTAGTTAACATTTTAGTGTCTATTCGTGCCAGTACCTACAAAATTATTCAAAGTATCCCTGAATGGCAGTGGCTCTCTCCATAGCGTGCTAATCCAATATGCATCCACTCCATGAGCGGGAAAAATGCAAAACCATATATCCTTACATACAGAGTTACAATTCTTCTGTTGTCAGTTAGCTAGCGCATTTTGTTGGTAACTCACAATATATTATCATTAAAGACTTTTCTTATAAATTTGATTAATGATATTTAGCTGTCCATGAGTTCTCGGACTACCGGTATTCACCTAAAACAACCTTTCATTCACTCGAGAAAGCGTGTTATGGCTGAATATGCACCCACCCGAGTGCATAAAACACATCCTTGACCTAACTTGACTTGACAACCCCAGTGTCTGTATTCGTCAGTCTGTACCGTCGACAGATGGTTAGTTCAGCGGAGTCTTACCGATCTCCATTGGTGTACACTTGCTATTCGGCTGCACATGAAAGAACTCCACTTTGACTGCATCCCCTGCCGGGTAGCTAACGTTGTCTCTTCCTCATATCTTTGGGTTTAACTCAAGGTGGAATTGCAATGTTGTGCGAAAATTTAACTCAGCGACGAGTCATTTCACCACTCATGTGAATTAAATGACAAATTTCCTTATCTGTTCATCACAGGCCACTGCACCTCTCATTACGTCCCGTGGGAGGAGTGGATAGAAGAGGTACGGTGTGACATGAACCAGTAATTGTCCACCAGGGAAGACAAATTGGAGACTAATTAAGGAATTCAATTTCGGTGAGTCATCGGGGGCTCAGGGACCCGGATGAAATGATAGATGTGAAGAAGTCCACTTTTGTCGTTTGATACACCGCTTCAAAATGTAACGGTTGATAAAAGCAGTTTACACATTGTAGAAGCATAATGATACAACAGCTTCATGCTATAGACAAGCAAAAGACACCGAAACAAGGCCAGGACTGCGATGCAGGAGGAAACCACCGTGACCAGTTTCTCCTCAGTAGTACTGGTACACTGCATCCGCGTTTTATCAAATGCTGAAGTTGCTAAGCAGTTTTACATTGGCACTTAACGGGTCAGTAGCAAAGCTAGCAAGCTTTATACAGACAATCTATTTGCTAGCGCCCAAATATCCTCCACAATTAGGCCGTGTAGTGCCTGGGAAGCATACGTGAAGATATATCCGCACTGAAGGTGGACTCTTCCCAATGAAATGCTGTACAAGGAAATCCCTAGTGCTTTAGTACAGATGCCATATCCCTTTATCACTCTTGCTCGTAACATGAACCAAACCTTCGATTCAGTTCGTGACTTAGGAATTATGCATTCCGAATCCTTAAATTTTTCTGAACATGTCTTCTATCAAGTCGAAAGATCCAGACATAACCGGAAGTTTTTTACTGCTTTAAACACAAGTTGATTTATTTAGAACAGCAGTATAACCTACTTTGAGATAGTATACCATGGTTCACAGCTAATTAGAGAAGAAGAAGAAGAAGAAGAAGAGAAGAAGAAGAATAGTCCTGGAAAATGTCTCATGATCATTTAATAACCTGGTCATAAAGGCACTCCTTGACCATGTGTTACTATGATCATAGTTATCCCCTCTGACTGGGTCCCTTTTGAATACTGAATACTGTATTATAGAGCAAGTATAAATGAATTCTGTACAACGCTTTCGAAACACGGTGAAAAACGCTATAAAAATTGTCAACCGTGAAGATCTTTGTCGTTCTCATGTAACATTTAAAATATCTGACTCACGGGATTGCAGGACTCCCAAATGTGACATGTCATCGTAAGTGTGCAATCGTTCTCTGAATCGAATAGTGGTAAAATATAAATCTAACAACCTTTTGAACTACTGCACAGTTGTTGCCTCAATCGCATGTTCAGGTAAACTGTTCCAAATGTTTACCACTCTCCATTCGAAGCACAGTGGGTGGGGAACACATTTCACATCCGGCACAACAAGTTTGTCTCAGCCGAAAGCTGCACCGAATGGAGTCAGGTACATCAGTTTCCGAATCGTGTATGGGTTCGCACTGCAGGTTGTTTTGAAAGTAGATGGCTACCCCACCACCTTTGCGGGCTCGATCATTCCGGACAACAGACATGCCTGTTAGCGCGAATTCGGCATCCGTTATCTCACAGCGCAAGCACGTTTACTTGATAGTGGTTGGGTCCCAAGCTGCTGACGCGTGTCGAAGTCTTACTTCAGCCCATTTGGTGAGTAGATCTTGGGCATTTGTGTACATGCATGAGACATTTTCGGAGACAAAAGATATGTTGGGTGGAATAGATGAGGTAAGTGAGTTTACGCCGACCGATGTTAGGTCGGCGGCTAATCCTTTTTGGATGGATTGCAGACACTCGAGACGAATTCGGTATATATTAAAGTATCAGATGCTCCAGATCTATATGTTCGCTCGTGCTCCGCTGTGCCCCTCCGGATGTTATAGCTATTGTTGAAACCGTCACCGATTCGGGTCCTACAGTTGGTGTTTTCATGGCGAGTTGCGCCTCCACTGAGTTGTCATTAGAAGGTGGTGGTAATCCTGCTGCTTTCAGACGAATTTCTGTTGGCAACCTGCTACCGAAATTAGTCCAATTTTCTAGAGGAGCTTGTGCCGTTAGTTCTGATTGCAACACTAGTTTCAACAGCCTGGGACCGCAACCCTTAGAGTACGGTGATAAGGAAATTCTTGTAAACGAGGTGCCACGACATTTTCGAGAGAAAGACTTGCGCGGATGTAGTGCAATTGCTCCCGGTCGTGTACCTGCACATCGTCGGAAGAGGAATCAGTAAGCTCAGGAACACCGTGAGCAATAAGATTTTTCTTCTCTTAAATTTTCTGTTCCTCTCTCTGTTAGTTGGATCCGATGCACGTACTTTCCACGGGATTTCAGGTAGTATGTGTACTTCACATGAGGCATTGCGGAGTCGACTCGAGGACTGCAGAACGGCATCTGCCTCATCCCCCGAGTTCAGTGTTACCCGAAGTAACCGGGGTTCACCATAGTGCAATGCGTTTGGGTGACGCGAGATGCGTTTTAATGGCGTAGAATCAACATGGACACTGATTGTCGTACAGATGGAATTCCATTGATTTCGATCGTCTGTCAACCTACGCTTAATCGTATTGGATTTGGATTCGGGGACATTAGTGCACATAAAGTTTAAAGCACCATGGTTGCGCCTGGTGGCTACTGAGTTTGGGGCCTTAGTTTCCGGTGCTTTTGGTGAATTTGCGAACGGCACTGATGAGGGTTATCCGTGCTGCGGCATTCTAGTTTTCTCTTGTCCGGCTACCAAGTTGCCGGTGATATTTCCGGTGGTTGCTTGGCGGCAACCGATGTGTATGTTATCTGGTTCCTCACTATGGCTGATTGATTGCAGCTTATTGTCTCCTTATAGCGAAGAAACTACTAGGTGTAACGCACTGTACAAAAGTTGAAGCATGCAGGCTGCAGGCAACGTTTTCACTTAGGGGAGAGAGAGAGAAGCAAGTTGGTACTGAATGAGACTGAGTAGTTGGGGTACTGCTGAGATGCCTGGCTCTCTTCTTCGGCCTGAATGGGGAATTCGGGGTGTTATTTTCACATACAAGTGCAGGTCATTTTCTTCTCATAGATGTAAC